TAATGCAATTGCTAAAGTCCACATTTTAAACATAATCTCAATATATAAATAGTTGTCCTGTGATGACATTGTCAAGAGAGACCAAGGAACATGGCCGACATGTCTGGACTAAAAGCTGTGGAGACGTATAAGGGAGGGTCGGGATATAAAATGATATCCCAATTTAGTACCGCCTAACAAAGCTCTGTTTAAAATTTAATTTGAGGACAACTTGTTGCAAACCTGCCAACACATTGCCATCCACTGAAACTGGCAGGTCAAAAAACTAGAAAATTAATCAGAAAAACATCTAGGAGGCCCACAGCAACTCGAATTTCCAAAATATACAGCTGAAGTGGAAAAATCTGTTGACAGGACATTTGGTCTGCTCTCCCCTTATTTGGCCTTTGTGGAAGAATAACAATGCAAAGGAAACCATGTTTGTAGTCTGGTTCAAACAATGTAGACGACAGAAAAAGTGTTGGTGTTGCAGTCGGATGAGGGCAAATTGAACTTTGTAAATGCCGTCGCATCACCCTGAAGACCTCCAGTTTATTGGTGATGAAGGGTGTAAAATTTACAGCATGTCACGGTTGTTACTTTAGTTGTGTAAGTGGTCAAATGATCATGAGATGAATTACTCAGAAAGTAGGGTAGAAAATATCAGACATCACGAAAAAATTCATCCTGCTAAATCTTCATCAGCACAGACTGAACTTATGCACAGCATAGCATGAGCCTAAATAAATTGGTGTCTGTCCTGTAAAAGCACCAGGTATATACCTTTAAAAAAAGGTGCATTTTTTGAGTTCCCAGATGCGTTATTCAACCTAAATTTCATTGTCACCACATAGGTCAAAGGTCAAATTGTCACATCAAGGTTTTGTGTAGTTATCCACACCCGTCAGCGATGTTGAAAAGCCCCTCAGCTCTGGGATCTTTCTGACCACCCTAATGCACCATGTTCCCTGCAAGCTCTCATTATTCTTTCATTACAACATTTACCTGACAAGAGCAGACAGGCGGTATCCAGGCCATCTTTAAAGATTAATAAAATGTTGTAAAAAACAGGAAGAAAACACACAGAAAGAGCTCCAAACTAGCAATTGAGTTTAATGTGATGCTGCTGACAGAATTATTAATCAGGAACTAAAGGATATTCAGACTTTTACTCTCAGCAGCCTCGCTTAAAGTCTTTTAGTTACCACCATTACATAGCAACTGAAGGTCGGGAGGTCTGGCACTAATTGGTTCTACAGGGCTTTGAATAACAATGAGCACAGCCCAATTATAAAATCACTATGAGCCACCACAGAGGAGTAAGATGGAGCGAGTGTAAGAAACAGAGGGAGGGACCATGAAAGAGTAACGAGGGACCAGCGATGGAAAAGAGAAACAGGAAAAGGAGAGACAGAAGAACTGAAGCGGTTTCATCTCTTTTGCTTCACTTTCCCTAGCAGCTATTAATAAATTTTATAAATCAGCAGTGGCATAAATTTTAAAAACGGGCTGTGGAAAAACTGTCAAGGCCTCTGAAGATGGCTCCACCTCATTGGCAATTCCATTTGCATAAAAGATTCACGCAACACCAGCGGATTTGAAGGGAATATTTTCTGTTTTATCGTCGGTTCATTCATTAGTTATAGAAGCCGCTTTACATGGCGGGATCTGACGAGAGTGGTTTGGAATATAAATCAGCGTCTCTCTAAAACAAGTCTCCCCTCTCTTTATTATTATTATTATTCAGTCACCAGGTTTTTTCTTTTTTTCTGTTTGTACATACAACAGTTCAACATGTTACCATATTGTGTTTCAGCAGTCTCTCCTGTCGTGCTGCGTTGAGCGCTGTTTGATGAGACTTCAGCAGCCACCTGGTGGCTCTGTTCCTCTGGGAAATGTAGGGGAAAAAAAACAAAAAAACCCACTCGCATATTAATGCCGTGTCATGTGGGTGGAGAAACTGTGTCAGGTGGAACAACATCCTCTCCCCTTAGCCGACTTCTACACTCGCTAGTAAGTACAAGGCGACAAACTGCCTGTTTGTCTGGCAGGACGCCCTTTATGACTGAGTTTATGTAATCCTGTGTAGGTTCACTCTGATCATGAAACTAGTACCAAAGTTTCTCTGCACAGATAAAAACTTAATTCATGTTTACTCATCATCTAAACCAGTCATCTGGAATCTCTACCTAAGAAAATATGTTTCCCTTTTGTACAGAAAAGCAAAATTAGTTTTGAGCCACAAACGCAACATGACTCTTAGAAACAAAGTAGCTTGTTTTTATAATGCTTACTCTAGGGTATTAGTTTAGATTTTTAAATAATAATAATAATAATAATAATAATAATAACAATAACAATAATATTTAAATTTAGTTTAGGCTACAAACCCCTGATTTAAACATTTTAGGATTTTTGTTAACTTTAAGAAAAAAGAAAGAATTGGATAAAGTCTTTATATAGACCATGCTGTGCTGCTCCACAGTAAACATATTTCATCATGCCACTCCAGCTCGCTTTCATCTGTTTAATTGTCTTTTCTCTTGTATTTTAGTTTTTGATTTTCTGGCAAAGCTGATTTCATAATTAAAATGATTCTGAAACCTTTAGAAAATGCTTTCATTCGGATCCCCTGTCCACACTAACGATGTCCAGAGGTAATCGTAGGCAGCGGTGCTGTTAGCTGTCCTGACCTGCATGATTTTGAGAGAGCAAAGTTAGAAGCAACTCAACGCATTAAGAACAATTCAGTTTATATTATGTTTAAGGTGAAGAGAAAGGCATAGGTATAATCAATAACACTTCCCCACAGATATCTAGAAACACTTATAGCCTTAAAATAATTCAATTTAAATACATTTATTCCTTGGGGAAAAATGCATATCAATAATTGTTTTTACCAAACTCACTGGTGGTTGTTGGTGCCTCTGACTATAATTTGGTGCCTGATTGGACATCATTTCCCTGTCCTTTTTACATAATCTCCATGGTTCCTGTATTTATTGGCTGTGGATGGACGATGATTCTGTCTGGGAAACGTCTCTGTTCTGGACCGTTGTCCTCCTGGAAGATCTAATAACTTTAAGTTTTCTGGTGGAGTTCGGAAGTTTTTTATTTAAAATCTCCTGATAATTCAGAGTTGGAAATAGAATTAATAATAAATAAAATTGTTTTATAATGGGATTTCTATGGGAGTTTAGCCATTGATAATTTATTTGAAAACTTGTACTTGTATGAAAAGGATGTAAAAATAGCCAAGAGGTGTCTTAACATTGTACAGCATGGGAATACAACAATTTTTATTCCCATGCCTAGATATCATCTAATATGTAAGGAGCTATAAATAATACATTTAGTGATCAGGCACATTTTGTGCATTAACAGGTGAAGATAATCAGTCCTAGAGGCTTATTCTCTCTGATCATAGCTTGATCGATCACTGTAAAGTATTCACATAATAAAAGTGTTGATCATTAACCGGGGTCTGTCCTCTGAGACCCTCGCAGTCGACCTGGGATTATAGTCGGCCCCTAATCAATGAGGAGTCGAAGCCGTGGCTCACCTCAGACTCCTCACCCATCGCTGTGTTGACTCAAGCTTGTCAAGCAAGAGTTTTCACCGTCCTAAGACATTTATTTTTTATTAGACCTCCTATGAACTTAGTGATTCTGTTTAGCCTGAAACAGGTGTTTGAGTAATATTGCAAAGAAACGGATAAAACTTGCTATGTTTTCGTGATGCTGTGGATGTTTAGAAGCAAAATATCCTCGACTGAGTAAAATGTAAGGAAAACCTGAACCTGCTGGATGAACCCGACAATGTTTCTCCTCTCTCACCGCTCCTTTCCCTATTTGTTTTGTGTCCTAATTAAGCAATTAATGTCTGGCATTTCTTCTGTTTACTGTTTACCTTAGTGTGGCCATGATAGTGCAGTGTTTGTCTGTTTGCAGGCAGAAGGGATTGTGCTGAATAATGCATGGCGCATCACGGCATCAGACAGTGTTGCCATTTGAATTATGAACACACTGGTGGAGAGACGCTAACTCGCTCTGACTAGCCCGAGGTAAAAAAGAGAGAAGAAAGGCAGAAAAATGAGTCTCATCCCGAGTTTCTGCTGCTTTACATTCATTGAATGTGATGGATGAGAGGAACGCTGGACATTTTAGAAACTTTGATGTGTCTTGTTAAAACCCTGTGAAATCTGAAAGGCGGGGACGTGCAGCTGTCACCACACTTCATTAGGCACATAAATATTTCTGATTTGTGGGTGAATTTAACATTTCTCTTCTGACATTCAAGGGGATGTGTTCACTTATACATGCATGCAAGTGGAAATAATATAAAAGGGGCCACGGCATGCTGCCTTTATCTTTTTTATCTTCCTCCTTTTCTCAGTACCGTTTTACTTCTCTAATGCATTTAACTTGGTGTGTTTAACAAACTTGTTTTAGCCACATTTATGCATAAATTGGCACACAAGTATACCTCTAGATAGTTTTTAAAAATCTTCACGTTTAGTAAGAGAAGCTGATATTTTGGAAAATATAAGCTTCTCTGACTAGAAAGTCCTATTTGCATGTAAACAGTGAGGTGCAAAGAGCCAGCCTGCACCTCCTGGCCAGAATACTACAATTTAAAAACAATGACTAAATTCATAGACATTTGCCTAAATGCTTAAGTTTATTGTTTTTCTAAGTAAAGTAAAAGTTGAACTCCTTCATTTCAGGCTGGGTGGCAGTCCACAGCAAGAGGGGAGGCAGCACCAGAGAAACTCACTCCTGTGCTTTCTCTGGCTCTCCGATTAAGTTATGCGAAAGCTGTAGAATCGACACAATAGAACATTTTAGCGGTTTGCTAAAACCTTTGTAAGTCTGTATTCTGGTGACTGGTCCATGCTAAGTACAAAAAGCGTCAGTTCTTCTGAGAATAAAGTTTTTTTTTCCAAAAACCTGGAAGACTGGAGGAAAACAAAAAAAAGTCAGAAATTGCTATTTACGTATTTATTTTTCCAATTTTCTTAGATCAGTGATTGGCGAGGAGGCGATGCTTTCAGGTGTGTTGGATTTCTAACCTGCTCCAGATCAGCTTATTCTCCCAGCATCAGTTACCAGAGGCTGACAGACCCAGGTAAGAAGAACCAGAACCAGAACCGGTGAAGTGAAATCAAATATCCTGAAGCTGCTTCAATAAGCCACTAATCCTGCTTCATATTACAAGACGCAGAAGCCACAACATTGAACAGTCACACGCACGCACGCACACACACACACACACACACGCACACACACTGGTCATTCTTTTTGCACAAATATTGTTGGCTTTGGTTTTAAAGTCTAATCTCTTTATATTTAATTATGAATCCATACTTTATTTTTTTCTTTGTAATTTTGGTTTTAACAGCCTTGTTGCCAGAGAAGTGAAGCTGATGCATGTTTTTTTTTTATTACAGTGCAGTGTTACATCCTATTATTGCTGGATGATTAAATCATAAATTAAATGTAAGATTTTCATTTTAGGAAACCCATAATCTGAAAACTGTTTGCCTATTCCATGTTTCTATATCAGCCTGTAAAACGCAGGGCAAAACAAATACTTGATTTCATTGAATGTTGCTTTCAGATCATCAGTTAAATAAACCACTAGGGGAGTTTCACTCAGCATTTTTTTTGTCAGTCAGCAATTCTTTCATTGCCCCATGTAAGAAAAGTTTTTCTCCCTGACATTTCTTTTCATATTTGACCTGCAAATAGAAACATTTACATACTCGCTTGCTAATTTATGCAGTGCTCTAATGCAGGGATGTGCAGGTGTTTCTGTTGTAGCTGTGCTGTGCTAAGCTTTCCTTTGGTGAAGTTTTTCAGGATGAAATGACGTCTGATCTGGAAGTAAAGGTGGCCTCTTTGTACCGGAGACAGAGGGTGTAAGACACTGGGGCGTGTTTTAGGGGCAAATTGGGTTCAAGCGCAGCCGACAATAGTCTGTCACCTTGAAGTGAGGCAGGATGTGTAAGCTCAGATCTGCAGGGAGCAGATCTGTCATGAAAACAACCTGGGCATCCTTCCCCTGGGAGGCAGAGAGGAGACAAGAAGAGCTGTGAGCTCTGAGTGAGAGACAAGTCAGGATGGCACTGTGAAAAAGCTGTACTGATAAAGGAATAATGACAAAGTGTGTGTGTGTGCACGTGTGTGTGCGTGTGTGTGTGTGTGTGTGTGTGTGTGTGTGTGTGTGTGTGTTTGTACCAGTGCCAAAATCCAGAGCCACCTCTGACAGCTTATTAGCACATTAAAGTAGAGAGATGGGAAAACTACAGCAAAACAAAAACTCACTAAAGCTGCTTTGTCTTTTCTCCCCACCCTATTTCTGCTGTGATAAACATTTTAAGCAATGCAGATTAGGCTCACTATTTGCATACTTTAAAAAAAAAATCAGCTTTTTTAATATTAACAGCAAAAGAAAGGGGAAAAAAATGCTGGCTGGGGGTTATTTTACCTCTCCCAGCGGGAAGTCTGCAAATTAACAAAAAGAAAATTAAATGCAACATTTGGCGCCTCTGTTACTTCTGCATTTTCCATCTCTCTCTCTCCCCACATGAGGAATGCTGCATACTCTAAATTAATTAGCTCCGGATATGTTTTAATGATATTTATACTTTTTCGGTGTAATTGTCTAAATGTGCTTTCCTAGAGAAACACATACAGTGGGTTTTAGACGACAAGCATAGTGCAGCAGGAAGGGAGAGAAAACTAGCTTATTAAGAATTGTTTTATGTTCAGCACATCATTAGGTCTGCTCCCAGTGTGATTGTGCCTAACCAGCCTCCTCTCTCCTCCTCGCTGCTGTTGCTCAGGGGGGTACAATCTACACCAGGATGGTGGTCAATTAGCTACTGTGTGCAACTCCAGGGCTGAGAAGAGAACAAAGTGAGAGGAGATTATGTACGTGGTGCTCTGCTTGTTTCAAGGAGACTGTTGGTGTCCTAGTTCACAAAATGGGAAATTGATTTTCAGATGTTCTCCCCTAAGAACAAAACACATAGACGCACAACAGAATGTACTGGTAACCTCATGTGCTGCATTTCAGCTCGGTCAAATGTGCAACAACGTCATAGTTTTGATGGCCAGCAGCCAGAGGCGATTAACCTGCAAAATGGTACAATATGATTTTCAAAAGTGTTTTCCTTCCACATGGTTTAAAGTCCATCTGATAAAATTGGGGATGCACAGATGAGAAAATGTGGGCCGATAATAGTCCCACAAGCTTTTATCCCTGGTTTCACGCAAAAAAAAAAAATAAAAATGTTTTGGGCTATTTCATTGTTTTAATCATCTAAGTATTCATTAAATTTAACGATGTATAATGTAACATGAAACAGCTTACAATTGTACCAAAATCATATATTATGCTGATTAATACTAATATTACTTATTTGCATTCCATGAAAGCCTATTGTCAATAAAAACACTGATCATGTTTGGGGTTTTCCAACTGTTTTAGGGTAATTTTGATGTGCTGAATCCAGAAATCACAATCAGGTCGACTTTCTGCGCTATGGAGCAACATGAGCATCAAAATGCATGACTTGTTCTCACATCTGGATCTGTTTCCTAATAATCTGGGATCAACGAGTGACGAGCAGGAGGAGAGACTCCATCAGGTCGTGAGAGATGGCGATGTAATGTTCAATTTACATCAACTCACCTTTCAGTATTTATTATTCAATTTACAGAAATCCAAGTTTGTAACATTTCATTAATACACGATTTTAGAAAACTTTCTGTTTTTCCTCCTAAAACCTTTTCTGGATGAGAAATATTAACGGAAGCGACCTGATGGTGTCACAGAAATGTAATCAGTTTAGCCAGAAGACTGGATTTCTCTAAATCAAATTAGAATAAAAACCTGACCTGATGGAGGAAAATGGATGTTATTTTTGGATTCAGCGGTGCAAAATAGTCCTGATTCAGTTGAAAAACCATAGACGACTTCCAAAAAATATTTTTTTGTAACCCAGTGAAATCTAACCCCAAATTAGTAATAACTTTTGAAATTTCCATCACCGGTTACACTACATATTTAATTTATCACCAAAGTCCACGATGTCTGCCCATGTGCTCATGAACAAGTTGTATTTTGACTACTTTATAATAAAGCACTTCTAATAGTATCCTTAACATGAGGTTTATGCATCAACCAACAATTTTGGTATTCACATAGCAACCCAGGAGCTGATTAGCGTCACTCGTCCATAAAAGATAGTAATTATGCAGTACATATGTAAAGAGAGAGAGGACACAGTTCAGCTGGAAAATATAAGGTTTCTATTTTATTAAATCAAAGGTAAAAATCCTTACAAAGTAGGCATTTTTAAAAACAATTTTTATATTGTTTTGTATGCATTTTCAGCAATTGGCACAGTTAATGTTCTTCGCAATAATAAATGTCAGGGCGAGCTCCGTTTGCATCGTCTGGATTTTCAGCAAACGTTGGCTCAAAATAGCTGCAGCCATTTTCTGATCCAGTGGGTTCCACGATAGAGGTTGAAAGCTCAAAAAGATGAAACAGAACTATTTCTGAATTATGCAGTTCTTTCAGACTTTCTCTGTTCCTCGCAAAGTATGCTGGACAGCTCACTCTGGAACAGAAACCCTCTGGCTATAACCGTAGCAGACAGATCTGTTTAAAATAAAGTTTTCTTTCAAGTCAGATTTTTACCCTTTGTGCCCTTTCTGATTTGAAAACCTTTACTGATATTAAAATGAGCTAACTTTGAGCCTTTATCTCTCAGTAAAAATGCTCAAAATGAAACCTGTGAGGAATTGGCTGATCCACCATGGCTTGTTCACTGACCAGGAAGAAAAGGATATAGTGGTCAAACCAATCAGTGTTTTGCTTTTGATTGATTTGATTTACTGGATCATACCTGTTAGTTTTCAAGATGCCCACACTTTAGCAGAAAACATCACAAATCCCAAAAATGATACATGCAAAGCTAAGAAAAACGCCAAAGAGGCACCCATAGCATTTAGTCGCATTTCATCCAGAATTAGAGTAACTCGATCTGATTTACAAATTTTATAAACTCTGTTTGTAGTCTTAAAAAAATAATTTACCGATCAATAAAGTAAGTTTTCCTCCACTCTGTGTTCTGTCTTGGAGATCAGTAGTTGTAGATTTCAGAGACTGGTACCAGTGCAGTGCAAATGCAATACGTCAGACAAACATTTGTTGCTCGCGACTAAAGCAGAATATTTTAATCCCCCACAGTCTGCTTGATTATGGGGAGAATAAATAATTACCACAATTACTTTGGTCAATACTGAAATCCTGATTACTTAAAACAATTATTCACCGAGTTTGGAAACAGTACATTCATTGCACTTGGAGGACAGTGGAAAAAGAAATATAAAAACTACTATATGACACAGAAAACACAACAACAAAATGTGATTGTCACTACTAATTTATTTCAACAAAAAAAATAATAATTTTAATTCTGCTACTAAAAGATTCACTGCAGGTGTTTACATGTGGCCAGTTGTTCTACTGAGAGGATTTTCATATTGAACAGATGCAGCAGTTTGTCAGCTGGTGCTTTTCCTCTTAGACGTCTCTGTGTTTTGATGAATTATGTGTAATCTTGTCAGAATAATGCATTTATAAAAAAAAAAATAAAAAAAAAATCAGATTCAGAACTTTTCACGTGATTTTTTTTTTTTTTCTTTAGAGGGCCAACGTGTGATTACATCTCTGTGTTATAAGCTCTTCCTCTGGCCTGCTTGGGGATTTGCTGAAGGAGGCACATGAAAGTTATGAAAAGTTCTGCCTTGGTTCAAACATGGCAGCTCTGTCAGTAATGTACCCTACATTCACTCTCAACCAAAGGAAATCCTGCTTTCTCATGCAGTCTTCCACCTGCTCTTTTCATCTCTGCACCACAGATTAATATTGCAGAGCGTGTAGCCCCTGCCCTCATCTTCTCCCTTCTACCTCTTGTTGTTTCTGCATCCCACCATTCCCAGGCTCTTTCACTTCTTTGCCTCCCCCCACCGGCTCCTCTGCCTCTGTTCTCGACTTGTGGATATTACATTTTCTTCCATCCATCCCCCCTATTGTCGTCTGCCTCTCCGTCTCAATCAAGAACGCCGTGAGGTTTTATGAATACATCAAAAACAATCATGGACGATCCGGGGAGGCATGTAGGGAGGCAACAAGGCGAGACGATTGCAGCTGGAACAGACGGATGAGAAAGAGGAAGAGAGAAAGGTGGAAGAAAGAAGAGCAAAGAGAGGGAGTGATGCAGCACTGTAGAATTTTAATGAGTACCAGAGGGAATATCTTTTTCACTTTTTTTTTTGTCTCGCTCATTTTCCATATTTTTCCTTTTCAAGGGGGCACCCTGACATGGCCTCGTAAATTTGACTGATAGATGACCATAAGGAGAATTTTTATTTTATGTTTTATGGAGTTGTGTGGATCGCTTAAAAGCACGCAGTATCCTACCTGCATCAGATAAATCTCAGAGAAGTTTAAGTCGACATTCTCTATGTTCTTAATATTTGCATATCTTGCTCTTTTCCCAGTTTTGTCAAACAAATCATCAGATTTAGACTTTTTAAAATTATTAAAAAATGTACAGGTTTTTTATTTTTTTGAGTAAAAATAAAAGATTAAAATCATTAAATTAACCAGTGATCAAACTTGGCTGGTTTTCCTTTGATCAGTAATCAACAGGTCAAACACTGAAAAATCTGTTTTATTTCCTGTTCAATACATGCGTCATAGCACAGTATCATTTTATATCTACACATACATCAACCAACAACATTTTGTTCTAATGATTTTTAAGATGAGGAAAATATTCTTAATAAGCAGAATTTTATTATAAAATAATCCTGCAATTCTGTAATTTTCTGATATTTTATGTTAAATGTTGCAAAGTCCTAAGAAACAAATATCTGAAACCAGGACGAACGGGTCAGGCATTGAGGGGAAACCCGAGGACATTTTAGCCCAGTTGGTGCAACTCTCTTGAAATTGCCTTTTGTTAGGAATCAAGAGGATATGTTCAACTATTTTATGTAAAATTTAGTCAAACTGTGAAGGGATAATTCCTCCATTCTGGACTCCAGCATACTTTCTGCTGGTTGAACTCCACCATGACTCCCCAAAGTACGATTGCACTGACTGCTCATAAGTACTCCATACAACCCCGCTTGAAGGAAAAATAAATGATATCTTCAGATAAAGTGTTTTCTTGATATGTTGGGTTCACATCAAGGGACGACCCTCATAAATCTTGTAATGGGTCAGATAGCATCAGAAGCTTTCAGACCTCATTATCTTGTATTTATGTTTTTCCCCCCCTCTTCCTCACTGTTTTTCTGTCTTCCAAAGTTGTGCCCTTATGGCCTCCTTCTTCTTTACACTATCCATGTTTTCTCTTTTCTTCCCGTCTTCCTTTTTCCTCCTGGGAAGAGTTTATTATGCTTTGCTCCGACAGCAAAGTACATAGATAAAAGTTAATTGCTTGGCTTGACTCCTCCATTGATATGAAAATAGGATTTAAATTATTCACAGTGGTTTAAAGGTTAGATGAAGGTTATTACTGGCAGATAGGAGTGGATGGGAGCAGGGTGAGGCAAAGGGAGGGGGAAAAAAAAAAAGGTTTGTGTTGCAAGCTGTGGCCGGAAGGTGAGGTGTTTTTCTGAAAGGCTAATTTGCAGTGCAGGCAGCGGAGACATCTAGTGAACTAACCACAAAAGCCTCTCAGGGGGGATTTGAACATGGTGGTGGAAGTCAGTTATTAAGCAGCAAATTAAGGGTAGCTTCTCTGCAGAAAAAAAAAAGAAAAAGAAATGCTGTCAGCTGTAAATAGAACCGCATGCGATCCTTGCCTATGTTCTAATCCATTTACTTTGTCTCCTGTCTAGCCCGGCAAAGAATTTCCTTCTTCATGCAAAGTTAGCAGTGCTTGGAAGGTAATAACCAGTGGCTTTTTCAGAAGGGATAAAAGGTGCAAGTGTGGGGTTTAAATAAGAGCCGGTTCTGTTTGGAGATTGACTTGTTTTGAACTGGACATGATGGAGTCTGGAGGGGGTGAGGCAGGATTACCTGCTCTGTGGTTGCCAGAGACCCTGAGGACACGTCCTGTGATCACAGCAGGGTTTTTGTGGGATGACTAGAATGTGGAGAGGTTATGAGAAGTCCTCTCTTTTTCTTTTCTACTGTATTACACTGGCCTGTGTGTCTAAAGAGCTTTGTTATCCTTGCAGACACGGTTCAGGTATTTCTTTACTCAGGAAGGATCTCTCAGGGGGCCTGTAAACAAACCACTGTGACAATCATTCACAGGATCAGATGCAGCAGCTGCACACCTGCAGTCATCAGGTCATCCCCATATTTTATTGCAGTTTTAAATAAGGGTGTTTTTCCACTTCACAGTGCAGTAGGTCTCTGTTTAACTGGGGGCCAAAATGGCAACATTGGTTGCATTGTCAGCTGGTGCGGTTGGTTTTCACACCGCACTGTGTCAAATGATCCAAACTCCTTGAAAAACGTGTCCACCTCCTCGCCTGTGGTGGAACTGCACCAAGAACCACTAAAGCAAACGACACAAAAACCTCCAAAGACATGAGTGTAACTTTATTCTTTGCAAAATGAAAGTAAAAACGGAGTGCCGTCAGATTTTAGCGATTGTAGGATTTCTCTTTTGACTTTCATAGAAGACCACGGGCCGTTAGACTCTTACGATTGCTCCTTTTTCTTCGAACCAAGCTTAAACAAACTGGAGTTCGATTAAAGCGGACCAAACAGGGCTGGTGATACTTAATCAGGTGACACAGAGACACAGTTGGTTGCAATGTTGCCTTTCAGCAAGAAGGTCCCGAGTTGGATGAGCTAGAGCTTCAAAACGGACATGGCAGAAAAAGCTCCCCAGCTCTGCCAAATGGAGCTGGTTATAAAAGTTTGTTCAAGGTTCTTAAAGAACAAAGTGGGTCTAAACTGTGAATGAACTTCATGCTAGGTGACAACAGAGATGTAGACGTGTTGTGAGTTTAATGCAAAGCAGCAGCGGCGCCACCCATGAACAGCTGAAGAGACAGACCCCAGGGCCGCTGATGCACATTTAATCACCTTCAGTTGTGTTGATAACATGAATATTAACACGAATCCGTGTAAACCAGACAACAGATGCAAATTATGTAAAGTGTTATTTTAGTGCGATTCTCTTTTTACAAAGAGTTGTCATAGAAACTTCCAGACTGAACTGATCTGTATTTCACATTCTGAATACTTCTGCTTCTTTTTGTTTCTAGAAACATGAACAGTCGGGGCGTAATTTGTATTTACTTGTGCTGAAGATGGCACATCTACATGATTTATGCCTGCAAACTCTACTCTTTGTTTACATTTTGTTCTGTCGCACGTATACAATGAAAGTTTATTGTAAAGCCATAAAATAGCTTTAGTGGGAGAAAAAAAAATCTATCTGTTAAAAGATTCATGGAAAGGAAAAAAAAAAAATAAGTTGGCGGGAGCCCGAGCAGAGACTGACGGAGAACAAAAGTTTATGTTCCAACTTCTCATATTTTCTAAGCACTGCTGCAGCTCAGTGTGTCCTTCATTTCTTTATGGATTATACATTTCTCTCCCCCTTGCTTTGACCAAGTAAAACAAGTAACTCAGTTTATTCATTCTCTTGTTTTGATTCAAAATTCAGAAACAAAGGTTTGATTCGGCGCCGCCTCCGCCCCTGCAGCTGATTGATTACCTGGAGCCAATCACTTGACAGCGGCATGTCCTTCGAGAACAGCCAAGTGCCGTTTTTCCCTCTTATTCTTTAATTAGTGATACAACCCGTGGGCACTAATCTATGCGTTGCCTCTTTGATATTTCTCAGATGTGCACCGCTTTGATTTCTCTGACCCAACAACGAGGGCTGGGATTGGTGTGCGCCGCAGGAATGCTAATATGTTCCTGGAAAAGCCGACGCTGTCAGCCTGTTGGCAGACAAGAGATCAAGCAAGACTTTCTTCTCCTCCATCTTCACCCCTGTACACATCATTCCTTTAAAAAAAAAATTCAATATATTGCCACCCTCTACAAATTCTGGTTGTAATGCCCAAATCTGGCAGCTGAGGAGGCTGGAAAGAGGCGGTAGGCAGAGGCTCATCCAAATCCACGTCCTTGAAAGTTCTCTTGGAATATTTTAACGGGGTGACGGATGGAAGCTTCAAAAAGCCGCATGAATTAGAACCATGTAGCTCATTTGTTTTGTGTTTTGTTGCGTCTTCCTGGGAATGCTCACCAAATAAAAAGGTTTCTCAAAGATTTGCTCCTGGAAGCTGTGCCAAAGCGATCAAAGATTTTTGCCTCTCTTTAAGCTGGCAGCTTTTGTTCATGAACCAGCAGTTCTCCATTCCTCACCCAGATTTCTTCCCCGCAATCTGGTCGGGAAGCCTCGGTAATCAAGTGAAGAGCACGATGTGAATAAATCAGTGGATGTATGACTAAAGCGAAGGGTTAGGCTGCCTGGGCATCCCTTTGATGAGCCTAGATTTGTGAATCAGTCACAAGCCAGTGCAGCTACGTAGCACTTCAAACAGGCTTAGCGCTAAGCCATTTAGCATGACTTTGCATGAAGTTGATTCGGCTGCAACACGGAGCAGATTGGGTTTAATTGCCAGAGTGGTTGACGGTAATTTGTAGCAGGACGTTGAGCTGAAGCTGTGAGGTAAATAAGGCAACAGGTTTGGTGTGTTGGTGTAGCAGGATGTGGACGCTGCCTAAGCAAATGATTTTCTGCCAAAAAAAAAGAAAAACAAAAAAAAGAGTAACGCAGCTTCAGGCTAAGCATGAATTTTTACTCTTCAGCTATATTAACATTTAAACCCTAATCACCAGAAGTATGGTGGTGCTCTTTGGTGGATGCAGTGATGGAAATGGAAAGACAATGAGGACGTGTTCCTGATTTAGGAGGGATACATTAGGATTTTTTCATGCTAATGTCATTTTAGCATGAAAAAAAAAAATCTGAATTTTTCTCACATCTCAACTGGAAAAATATGCACAGCTGGGAATCGGCTTTCATTTCAAGAATTAATAATCAAATTAATTTGCATCACAAGGCTTTATTAGCCAGATTAAATCCTGTTCAGTTAGTTTTAAGCAAGTGTAACATTGGGGGTAACAAGGTTGTGTTTTTAACCAAAATATCAGGCGCAGAAATATTTCTGGAGACAGATAAATTGTTATAAAACCTTAGCTCACATGGACATCTAATACCTGCTACCTAAAGACTTTGTTCAGAGGTCAGAAGTGGGTTAAATAAACAGAGCTGTCACTTAGTTCCTCTTCTGCATGTTAGTTTGCTCTAGGATGTAAAAACACAGATTTGCAAAGAAGTAAATACTAGAAACTGTCATTTCCTAAAGCCCAGTCAGGTAGCTGGTTTGTGATTTTCTCTACCAAGAAAAATTGAAACGATGTGGTCAGAATGTGATTGATCAAATGTGCTTCGTGGCTGTATTTGGTTGTGCCAAGGAGCTTTGATGACTCAACATTTAAGTG